GCCACTGCACTCCAGTCTGGGTGACAGAATGAGACCCCAACTCAAAAAAAAAAAAAAAAATTCAAGAGATACAAAAGAATATACCTTTAAAACCCCATCACCCATCTTTTTCTCCCAGCTACCTAGTTGTCTTCCAGATGGAAACTGAAACTAAAATCCTGCAATGACTTTTTTTCTTACAAAAGCATGTAAAAATATTATTTCTCTCCCTATTTTCCCACAGACAGTAGCATACTATACATACTGATCTACACAATACTATGTTCATATCGCCATATGTTTTAAGAATAATTCTACACTAGGCCATAAAAAGTGACACCCTAAATAACAAATAGAGACAGGCTCTCTAGAAGAAAATGACATTTATTCAGGAATAGGGCACTGCAATGAGAATATGTGTGTCATAGTAAGCCATATGCATATTCAGGGAGATAAAGGAAGACTAAGGTTTTTAAAGAAAAAATGAGGAGAACTATATAATTGTTTTGAGGTAACTGTCCTTGGCTACAAAGACCAATAACAAGGGTGACAACTGCCCGAGGTTGGACAGACAATTGCTGAGCAGGTGTCCTCGCAGAAGTATTTTTTTGTATACGGTTGTGATGGTCTTTGTGCAAGGTTGTGGTTTTGCAGAGTCCGTTGTAATAATTTTTTATATCAGGCATATAAATATAAATGCACGAGAACCATCCCTTCTCACGAGTGACTCCATTTTGATTCTGACAATTTTCACGAAAGCTTCTTCACTCATTTGTATAACTATAGGAATAGTATTCCACTGTAGGAATCTATCATTATTTATTTAAGTGGGTCACTAGATGTTTAGCTTATTTCCAATCCTTTCCCATTACAGCCAATGTGGAGTTGGCGGGTCAATGAGATTGTGAATTTGCAATTTTAGAAGATACTGCCAGTTAGCCTCCATGGAGGTGTAGCACTTCACATACAAGAGACCATCCAGGAGTGGAGAAGCCTCTTCCTACTGCCGACAGAGCCAATTAGCAAAATCTCTTAACATTTTCAATTTTATTCAGGGAAAATTACAATCCATTGTAGATCTTAATTCTATGCAATAAAATGTCTCATTTTAAATGGGTATCTTTTGGTTCAAGCATGTGTTTGGAATACGAATAAATATCTCAGCGAGTTTTGAAAAATGTATACATTTGTGATAGCTGCAATCAAGATATAAGACATTTCTGCATGGCAGAAGTTCCCCAATGCCCCTTCCCAGGAAATTTCCTCAACCACTGGCCACAGGCAGCTATTGATCTGCTTTCTGCAACAATTCCAATATAGTTTTAGTCCATGGTTCTCTTATTAGAAATGAGGTTGATCATCTTTCCATGTGTTAAAGGCCATTTTTATTTCTTCTTTTGTGAGTTCTCCATTCATAGCCTATGTCCTTCCTGTTGTATTTTGGTCTATAGAAGTTCTTTATTTTAAAAAAATTCCATCTGTGATATGAGTTCCAAATATTTCTTTATAATTTGTCATTTACTGTTTGACTTTGCTTATATTTTTATATAATCAAAGTTTTACTCTTTTATGGCTCTAGGTTTTATGTCATACTTTTTTTAAAAGTTCTATTTTTAGATTACAAAATAATTCTTCCATATTTTCTTCTAAGTGGTTTTATGTTTTCAGTCTTCACTTTTAAATATTGGCTCATCTGGAATTTATCTCATAAGCTGGAGGGCACTGGTTCAAGCTTTTGTTGTTGTTCAGATGGTTACCTTTTGAAGGGTATGCTCCATTTGTGGAATGTATCATCCTTCTCTCACTGATTTAAAATTCTCTCCTGAGCAAAAGTGACATTCCTAAAGGAATGTAGGTCTACTCTAGTCTTTATATTCTGTCCATTCGTGTGTCTGATGAGTCACGCAGTATCAGCACAATTTTAAGTATAGTTTAATATCTATTTGGGCTGTTTCATGATCCTTCATATTATGTTTTTCTTTCAGAATTGTCATGGCCATTTTTACCAAATTGCTTCTCCATGTGCACTTTAGAAATCATCTTGTCTAGCTCCAAAAATGTAGGTCTACTCTAGTCTTTATATTCTGTCCATTCGTGTGTCTGATGAGTCACGCAGTATCAGCACAATTTTAAGTATAGTTTAATATCTATTTGGGCTGTTTCATGATCCTTCATATTATGTTTTTCTTTCAGAATTGTCATGGCCATTTTTACCAAATTGCTTCTCCATGTGCACTTTAGAAATCATCTTGTCTAGCTCCAAAAGAAATCCTGCATAGGCAATTTCAATGGGCATCCCGGTTAAGTAGTACAGTTTAAATCAAATATTAATAACAACTCTAACAACACCTCCCATTTGTATTCTACATACTTTTCAGAGCAGTTTCATTCTTTCATCCTCCTGTCCTCCTTTGAGTTAAAAAGGACAGGTGTTTGACAATTCTGCAGATAAGATGAAACTATTCACAGACACACAAAAGGAAGCCTAGCCCCAGATTCAAGGCAGACCTTCTCTTGGGGGCCCCAGGGTCAGCAGAAAGTTGCAGGCTTGAGTATGCCTTGGGTTCCAACTACCTCAGAGACCCCCGCCCCACCTCAAGCCCCAAATCTGTCTCACCCCGATCTTCCCGAGGAGCGGGATCTGAATCAGTCAGCACCATGCAACTCCTCCTCCCCAGTCACCCGCTGCCCTGGAGCTGGGGAAAGAATCTGGGACCACAGCCACGCCCTGGGCCCTGTCCCAGCAGCCACCCTACTTTAGGGCTGCAGTCCCAAAAGAGCCCCCGCCAGAGTCACGGCAAGAGGCGCGGGAGGGGACCAGTCAGGCACAGGCCTTTCCTCACCCTCCCAGCCATTATCCCAGGGTCACATCTTCCAGTCTAGCATGTCCCTCCCTCCCTCCCAGGCGAGTCATACGGGAAACCAGGAGGGAGGGAGAATGGCCTCCTGCGGGCTCGGGGGCAGGACCCTGGAGACTCCTCAGGAAAGAGGGTCCTGCGGCAAGAGAGTCTCCCATAAGAAGGGTCACCTGAGCCGCCCAGGGCCCTGCCTCACCTGCTGTCCACTGGGAGCCGGCTGCCAAGCAGAGTGGGGCTGGGAGGAGCGGACCTGGAGCTGCGGAGTGGCGGGTGGGAAGGGAAAGGAGATGGGAGGGGAGGAGGGTGAGGGCTGGGCCTTCAGCACCGTGGTTTCCGGTTATTAGCTGGGGCAGCGGGGCCCGGCAAGGGGGTTACCGCCTTGAGTGGAAAACTTGGCTGGAGAAAGCAGATCCCACACGCGCGCACACACACTCACACACACACCCACTCGGACGACACCCACACCCACTCAGGCAATACGCATGCACACACGCACACACAGGTCCCCACTTGTTCAGAAAGCCCTGGCAAGTGCGGCTGCTGGCAAGGACCACCTG